CCAAAACCCCACCAACTTTTCGCCCCCCCCCCCCCCCGAAGCACCAAGAAGACAGAGCATCACTTGCCCCAGAGCCCCTATCTATACCTTGTGGCTAATAGCCACTGATGTTCATTTCAGACAGTTCTGAAGACATGGTTATTGCCTTCCTACAAGTCCCAACAAGGACTTTTAAGTTTAGAAAAGAGATGACTAAGGGGGGGCCATAATAGAGGTTTATAAAATTATGCATGGGGTGGACTTTTAAGTTTAGAAAAGAGATGACTAAGGGGGGGACATAATAGAGGTTTATAAAATTATGCATGGGGTGGAGAGAGTTGACAAAAAGAATTTTTTCTCCCTCCCCCAACACACTAAAACTCAAGAGCAGCCAATGAAGCTGACGGGCAGTAGGTTCAGGATGGACAAAAGGAAATGCTACTTTACATAGAGAGTGATTAAAATGTAAAATTCCTTGCCAGTCAATGTTGTGACAGCCACAGGAACAAACAGCTTTAAAAGGGGATGAGATGGATTCATGGAGGAGTAGTCTGTCAATGGCCGCTAGCCATGGTGACTGAGGGAACTTCCACATTCAGAGGCACTAAGCCTCTGGATCCCAGAGCCAGGAGGAGGCAACATCAGGGGAAGGCCTCGGCCTCTGTGCCCTGCTGTTGGCCTTTCAGATGAACTGGTTAACCACTGTGTGAGACAGGAGGCTGGACTAGATGGACTATTAGTCTGATCCAGCAGGGCTCTTCTGATGTTCTTAAGAAAGACTGTCGCTGCTATGCAGAGCCAGGCAATGACAAACCACCTCTGCTCAACTCTTGCCTGGAAAACCCCGTGAGATGGAGCATCATGGATCGCCATGAGTCTGTTGCGACTCAACAGCACGCTTTTACCTTTTAAACATGATCAGGTAGATGCTGGGACACAGAAGATTTTCACTTTATCATGGGAGTAGTAGGAATAACTATCCCAGGTATTTATTTAAGGTATTTAAACTCTGCCTTTTCACAAAGGCGCTGCAAATGAATGGATTTCTATTTATACATAATATTTCCAGTCTGCCACTGCAGTAACTGTGAAGGGGCTGTGGCTCAGTGGCAGAATGTCTGATTGGCATCCAGAAGGTCCCAGGGTCAATCCCCGGCATCTTCAGCTAAAAGGATCAGGTAGCTGATGATGTGAAAGACATCTCCTTCAGATCCTGAACAGCACCTGCCAGTCAGAGTAGACAAGACTGACCTTGATAGAGCTGACTGCAAGGCAGTTTCTTGTGTTCTTGTGTTAATGACCACATGACAACTGTGGTTTGTATGGATTCTGTGCTCAAAGGGAATCAAGCCCAAATTTATAGCAACCCATATATTTCACAAGTGTAAACGACTTGAATCTTTTCATTCATGATGATGGCTTGGTTTGCACTTATGCACTAGCACCACAGGAGGTAGCAAAGGTTTACAACCATCAGGCAGTGTTCAGGTGAAGGTGCTGTTTGGGAGAACCAGCAGCTCCCCACAGGGACTTCTCATGCATTGCCCCTTTTCCTTCCTTCTTTTTCAACTGGAGATGCCGGGGACTGAACCTGGAACCTTCTGCATAATCAAGCACAGACTCTACCACTGAGCCACAGCTCCTCCCCTAGTCACTGAAAACAACTTTCCTATATGAAGAATGTGTGTCTCTAAGTACGGGCAAAACTTTTTGCTAATCAACCTGAACCTCTCACTATAAACTTTCTGGCTACAGACCTGCATTTGCCCTACAAAAGATTACCTGACCCTGAAGGAGCATGAACTTCTAGAGAAACAGTTTGGTGTAGTGGTTAGGAGCATGGACTCTAATCTGGGAGAACCGGGTTTGATTCCCCACTCCTCCACGTGCAGCTGCTGGTGTGACCTTGGGTCAGACACAAGTTCTTTCAGAGCTGTTCACTCACGAGCGGTTCTCAAAAGAGTTCTCTCAGCCCCACCTACCTCACAGGGTGTCTGTTGTGGGGAGGGGAGGGGAAGGGAAAGGAGATTGTAAGCCGCTCCGAGACTCCTTTGGGTAGTGAAGGGTGGGGTATAAATCCAATCTCTCATCTATATATCTAATAGCCAAGTTGCCCCCTCCGTGCGGATATCAAAATCCGCACATCGGGGGCACTTGGGGGGCAGAGAGATTTTCCTGCACACTTGGAGGAGTCCCTACAGGTGTGCAGAAAAATCTGAAAAGTTTAAAAAACTATACTGGGGATACTTAACCCCCAAAAAAACCTAAAAAAAAAAAAAACATTCCCCATGCATGCGCAGAGAACTCACTTACGTCTGAGATCTGTGGCAGAGCCGCGCAGGGCTCACCGCCATTGGTGCTGGTGGCAGTGGTGGTGGCAAGGGGGAGGCTTGGCGGGCCGGCAGCTAGAAGCCGTGGCTGTTGCTGCTGCTGTTGGCGGCGGGGGGGAAGCCTCGCGGGCCTGGCAGCTCGGAGCCATGCAGGGTTTGACGGTGTTACTGTTGTGGGTGGTGGTGGGGAAGCGCCTGGCGGGCCTGGCGCAGGGCTTGCCTGGCGCAGGGCTTGTCAGTGTTGCTGTTGTGGGACGCAGCGGTGGGAAGAAGCTTTGGCGGCTCAGGAGCCGGGGGGATTACTCCCCCCCCCCCCGCGAGTCACACCTTGTCTCTCTCTATCTTTGAGGGTGGGAGTGGGAGGAAAGGGCGATCACAGCAGTAATAAAATCCCGGACTTCTACATGGTGTCCGATGAGCAGTTTTCCATTGTTACTGTACTAGTAAGAAATACCCTAATCTTGTGAAGGAAGCACTAAATCTGGTCTGCAGTAAACGGGGCAGCCTCTGTTTCCCTGTTAAAGGTAACCATGGTTCTAGAAGAGGCAGTTTTCACCTCTGCATTGGAGGCTACAACAGACAGGTTAGTTCTGCTTTGTAATTCCCTGGTCTTCTTCATTAAAGATATTTTTAAAAAACATTCCTCCCTCCTCATTCATGTCAACAGAAGCCTTTTCAGAAATCATCTTTAATTAATGCAGATGGGGGGGAAATGTAATTAGAAGGAAAGGCCTTCATTTTATGAAAAAGAATGGCAACATTAAAAAAATACCTACTGGGGTCACGTAAACTCCTTGGTGAACATCTCCAAACTGCCCTTCACCGATGCAGCGCCCCAGCTCAATCCGTTCTCTCTGAATCTCGTAATCCCTGGCTGTTGGAATGCAATCCATTTAAAACGCAATCTACTGATGAAAAGCTTTCAACTGAAAACAATCCACAAGATGCCAAAAACAGCCAAAAGCAACTCCCACAAAATGGTCTGGCGCACGAAAACCAGATTAGAGTTTGCTGCACTTTATCCATAGTAAATACTGTCTTGCCCAGTGGAATCCTCTTAAACAACTGTTTGAATGAGAGCCTATGAAAAGGATGCTGTGAAATTCAGACATACTGAATTAGTCCCAATGTGTTTAGTTATATTAATGCAATAAATGCAAAACTAGAACGTCTTAATTGATTATGGCCTAGAGGAGCACATGGAAACAAATGCAGCCTAGGGTAATAAGGGTTAGCCTTCACAAACGGTATGTTTAAGAGTTCTCCACTATATGATATTTTAGGTGTCTTAATCAGCAAATCAGCCAAGAGTATTTTTAAAGAGGTGTGCAGAAGGTGGTGAAAAGGAACCACATTTTTACAAAAAGGGGGGGGGACCCTAGGTAAGTAATGCATTCTGCTGACACTGTAAGCAAAACAGACATGGGGCTGCATTGTTAACTTTTTTTATTTAGTGGACTGTACCTTTCTTCGAAAGGCAGTGGCATTCTACTCTATCATATAATTAATTTCCAATTGAATTGTTTGTCTCACTGATTCCATTTCCATCATGCACAGAAAAGTATTTACTGGAAAACATTGTTATTTCTTGTTTTCCCTGGAGTCAACTCCAACAGCATCTCATCTCTCCACAAACTTAGGTTTCATTTCAGAATAGCAGACTGGCATTATTTTTCAGTAAGAAACTCAGAGAGTTGATGATGCCTGGCATCACAAAACTGAAGCAAATTATTACACATTCCTTTTTTCATTTAAGTAATGCATTCCCCTCTTTAAAATCCCAAAGCTTTCAAATGCATTGGCTTAACTGTACAGAATTAAGCCAATTAAGACTTTAGTAACAGAAAGTCAACAGGTTTTTTAAAATACCACATCATTCCAAAGTATCAAGCATAGAGATGATTAAAGTTTCTCCTGTTACCTTCATCTATTCCATAGCTTTCTGCAGTGCAATTAAGAGAAAAATCAAACACTTGCTTAGAAATGGCTTCTCGAAATTCAGAATACAGTCGGGGGGAAAAATATTTCTAATTAAAAAAAAAAACCCACACAATAAACTCACAGTTGAAGTTAGTGTGAAATCTGGACTTTCTGCAACAGGCTTCATAACAATTTGCAAGCAGGGCCATCCCGTACACTAGGCTAGGGCAGGGCCCCCCAATACGGTGCCCACGGGCCCCAGGGTGCCCGCCAATATCTATCTATCTATCTATCTATCTATCTATCTATCTATCTATCTATCTATCTATCTATCTATCTATCTATCTATCTATCTTTTGCATTTATATTCCGCCCATCCCGCAGGTGGGCTCAGGGCGGGTCACATCATTGAAATAAATACAGTTTCAGTTTAAAACATTAAAACACCATAAAACATTCTAACAATTAAAACAACGGGTACAGCCTGAAACAGCGTCGGTAGGCTATAAAGTTCTGCCCCGATGGTGCAGTGAGTCAAAGGCCAGTCGTCTTGGTGCTTGCCAAGTGTTTAGGGGAAGTAGGTGGGGGCCAGGTGGGCTACTGGCCACGGGAGATTTGGTTGGCTGTGCAGGTTTGTAAAAATGTTGCTTTGGCAGCAGCTGCTACCACAACAACAAGGCTCTTAAGGGTGTGACTGAAAGAGAGCATCACCCGCCATTTTTTTTGGCCGCCTCTGCCTTTTGCAGCAGCCATTCTGTGGCTGTGCCCACTGTGCTCTGTTAGAATGCCAAAGACCCAGTTCGGTGTAGTGGTTAAGCGCGCAGACTCTAATCTGGGAGAACCGGGTTTGATTCCCCACTCCTCCACTTGCACCTGGCTGGATGACCTCCTTGGGCAAGCCGGTTGCCCCCTCCGTGCGGATATCAAAATCTGCATATCGGGGGCACTTGGGGGGCAGAGAGGTTTTCCTGCACACTTGGAGCAGTCCCCAGGTGTGCAAAAAAATCTGAAAAGTTTAAAAAACTATACCGGGGGATACTTAAATCCCCCCCAAAGTTTTTTTTAAAAAGCATTCCCCACGCATGCGCAGAGAACGCACTTACGTATTCTAACAATTAAAACAACGGGTACAGCCTGAAACAGCGTCGGTAGGCTATAAAGTTCTGCCCCGATGGTGCAGTGAGTCAAAGGCCAGTCGTCTTGGTGCTTGCCAAGTGTTTAGGGGAAGTAGGTGGGGGCCAGGTGGGCTACTGGCCACGGGAGATTTGGTTGGCTGTGCAGGTTTGTAAAAATGTTGCTTGGGCAGCAGCTGCTACCACAACAACAAGGCTCTTAAGGGTGTGACTGAAAGAGAGCATCACCCGCCATTTTTTTTGGCCGCCTCTGCCTTTTGCAGCAGCCATTCTGTGGCTGTGCCCACTGTGCTCTGTTAGAATGCCAAAGACCCAGTTCGGTGTAGTGGTTAAGCGCGCAGACTCTAATCTGGGAGAACCGGGTTTGATTCCCCACTCCTCCACTTGCACCTGGCTGGATGACCTCCTTGGGCAAGCCGCAGTTCTGGCTCAGCTGTTCTTGAAAAAGGGCAGTTTCTGTCAGAGCTCTCTCAGCCCCACCTGCCTCACAGGGGAGGGGAAGGGGAAGGCGTTTGTAAGCCGCTCTGAGACTCCTTTGGGTAATGAAGGGTGGGGTATAAATCCAATCTCTTCCTCTTCTTCTATCGTCTGCATATCTGAGGTTGTTGCTTCTAAGATGCCCACAGGCTCAAAAAAGGTTGGGGACCCCTGGCCTAGGGTGTCAGATCAGGGCTGGGGCAACAAAAGTTAGAATGCCACAGGCAGACCCAGGGGTCCAGGGCAGAGAGGGAGCTGAACCAGTGTTCATCCTAGGCATCGCTACTCAAAAGCACAACAGACCTAGTCACACTGATCTACATCATGGTCAGTGTTCCCTCTAAGCTGAGTTATTGTGAGCCAGTGCACAGTTTTTTACCCTGCGGCTCACACATTTTTTGGGGTCTTCGCTCAGGAAGGGATGGCTCCAGAGGAAACTGATTTACGCAGTAGCCAAATCGCTCGCTCACAACTTTAATGCCAGTAGCTCACAAAGTAGAATTTTTGCTCGCAAGACGCCACAGCTTAGAAGGATCATTGATCGTGGTAATCTCCAGAATGGACTACGCAGGGCTGCCACTGAAGGTGTCAGTCTGTACAAAACGAAATGGTAAGCTTCCTGTCAGGGGGTCAGCCATTAAGAGCGTATCATTCCAGTGCTGTGTGAACTGCAACAGTTAGGTATTTGCTTCTGGGCCCAACGCCAAGTTCAGGTTATTACCTTGAATAACCAACCTAGGGCCATCCTACCTATTGAACAGCATCTCCTAGTATATTCCCATGGGCCAGTTACACCCCTCAAACAACTTTCTCCTGGCCGTACCCTCCCGTAGGGCTGTCACTGAAGCGACAGCTAGGTCACGGGCTTTCTTTGTGGCATGACCTTACCCACGTGGGTGCATAGGGCATCTTCCCTGGCTCCATTCAGGAAGACAAGCAAGACAGTTCCACTTCAGAGGTTGCAGGAAAAGCCGAACGGACTCTCAGCAGATTTAGCGCGCTTTCTCACACACTAAATAACGCACTTCCAATCCACTTCCAGTGCACTGGATTTTACTGTGTGAAAATGGCAAAATCCACTTGCAAACCGTAACTGAAGTGGGTTGAAGCTGCATTATTTCACATGTGTGAAAGCGCCCGAATGCGTTATGTGCTTTTAAATTTGCATTATTTTTATCTGTTAATGGATGTTTACGTTCTGCAGCTTGTTGTGCAGTTAGCTGTCTGGAGTCCAAGAAAACAAGGCAGGCCATAAATATTTTAAACAGAGAAATAGACAAATCAACGTAAGGATTGCATTTGGGGCACGTAGCCAGACTTCACGTGCAAGTTCAGATTCACACGTGGCTCCACTGGGGGAAGAAACGACAAAAAGAGCCAACTAGTGTCATAATACTGAACAGGTAAAGATTCCCATGTGACATATGCTAATGGTGGCTGGATCATACCTTTTCAGATGGGGGAGGGGAGGTGAATGCTCTCTGAAAGGCCCTTTAAACATTATACGCACAGTCTGTACGGAAATTATTTTCATGTGGGAGAGCATTCCAACCGTCGATCTGCCTCGTTTGCTGTCTAGCATGACACAACTCCAAACAGCGAACTTCATCTAGAGTTTCTGCTCAACTCTTTTCATCTTCTGAACTTTTAAAGTCCATGATACTTCATTAAAGTACATTTCCTAGCCATATGGAGTTTTTGTTAATTTCTGTTAGACGGTTGCAATGATCTCTCTAATTTTTCCTCCCTCCTGAGCGGAGCAGTTCACATCCCGAGCAGAATATAACTGCTGTAATAATAAAATGTTCCCAAATATACAAATTCCACTAGTAGAAAACACCATCAAAGATTGCCAAAACAATATATTGAACAATTATAAAGCTGGTGGTGTCACAACAGCAACATTAGTGCATACTGTAACTATAATAAAGCATAAGACACAATATTTCCTCCTTTGAAGATAAGACATAAAGTCCATGTAGTCAGTGTAACTTGATAGGAGGAGTCCACATAGTCATAACATTTTCCAAACAGCCTTTGCAAAGAAGAAGAGATTGGATTTATACCCCACCCTTCACTACCCAAAGGTGTCTCAGAGCGGCTTACAAACTCCTTTCCCTTCCCCTCCCCACAACAGACACCCTGTGGGGTGGGTGGGGCTGAGAGAACTCTGACACAAACTGCTCTTTTTCAAGGACAGGTGTGCCAGAGCTTGCAACTGACCCAAGGTCACATCAGCAGGTGCAAGTGGAGGAGTGGGGAATCAAACCCGGTTCTCCCAGATTAGAGTCCGCACACTTAACCACTACACCAAACTGGCTGACACCCATTCTAGATTCTTGGAAGATGCGTTTCCTTCGACTTCTTCAATTTGCTGGCTGTGTAAGTGGAACTGTGAATCGTTTAATATATTGTTTTGGCAATCTTTGATGGTGTTTTCTACTAGTGGAATTTGTATATTTGGGAACTCCTGTGACACTAGTCTTTTCCCCTTGTTGTTTGGTAATAATAAAATGGGCAATGGGCAGTGCAAGACCCTGTGCGGCTCCAGACTGCTGCTGAGCGGGGCTTCCTGTGTTAATGAGTGGCCGCTCACATGCACAGCTTAGAGGGAACACTGGATGGTTGTGGGGAAATCACGGGATTTAAGTCTCCAGAATGTCAACTTACCTAAAGAACTTTCTCTTTTAAGTCCACATGATTCTTAAATGTAATCACCCTGTGACTCATGAGCTATCTACAATCAACTCAGCCCCAATAAGACAAAATAGCTAGTGGTGACTAAAATGCCCTATTGATCTGATGCTCAAGTAAACCCCTGAGTAGGAAAAGCCCCAGAATGAAGTTTACTTACTCGAGGGCATGGTGTAAGTGTCTTCTTCATCTATAATCTCTGCGTAATCGTCCGTTTCTGAAAGGAAGGAATCAGACAGTTCAGAAAAGACCAAATTGCAGCTGGGGGGCGGGGAGGATATGTAACACATTCCTCATTCCTCTTGCCCCCCTTAAAAAAGAAAACCCCTGTAACCTTTTCACCTCCACATAAATCTACTTAGGGCTACCATGACTAATCCTTCCCCGTGCACGAGTTATTCATGGAAATGAAGATGACCTCATTGCCTGCTCCATTTCATTACACAGACTTGTTTCTCAGGGGTCAGAGAGATAGACTGAATGCATCTTTTATCAAGTCATAGACAGTTCCCCCTATTTAGATCCGTTAGTCAAAATATGAATAAGTCCTGTCCTATGATCAATAGAAATTTCCCGTCACAAACCCCACAAATGGATGAGTGGGAGCTACTATCGTGAGACTTTTCTATGTGCAAACAAGGAAGAACTTTGTAGGTCTTAGAACATGGTGAGAGAGAGAGAAGATGCAGGATCCACAGGAAGCAAAGGACTGCAGTTTCTTTCAGGTTGCCTAAAGAAAACCAAGTCCTTGGGTAACACTTGCTCCAGGCAACTCCTATTTATGATTTAATTGTATTGCCTACCATTGCCACTTAAAATTAGGTGATCATGAATCAATTCCTGAAATGTAACTTTAACGCTAATCCTAAAGACAATGTTTAATTTTTATAAAAATCCACCTAAGCTATCATTTCTGTTGCCCCAGAAGGTCAGACCAGAACCAACGGGTTGAAATTAAATCAGAAGAGTTTTCAGCTAAACATTAGGAATAACATCCTGACAGTTAGAACAGTTCCTCAATGGAACAGGCTTCCTCAGGAGGTGGTGGACTCTCCTTCTTTGGAGGTTTTCAAACAGAGGCTAGATGGTCATCTGACAGCAATGCGGATTCTGTGAACTTAGACAGATCATGAGAGGGAGGGCAGGAAGGGTTGCCTCAGTGATGAGTTCTTGTGGCCCTTTCTTACACGTCCAGGGAATTGCTGATTGCCACTTTGGGGTCAGGAAGCAATTTTTCCTCCCGGCTGGTTTGGACAAGGATCCTGAAAGTTTTTTTGTCATCTTCTGGGTGTAGAACAGCGGGCACGGCGGGTGTGGAGGGGGAGGTATTTGTGTATTTCCCGCATTGTGCAGGGGGTTGAATTAGATGACCCCGGAGGTCCCTTCCAACTCTATGACTCTATGCTTCTATATGATATACTTTATATATAAGAATATGACATACACATATATACACATATATAAGAATATGATATATCCCTGTCTGGGGTGGGGGTGGGGGTGGAAAGTGAAATCAAGTCGCAGGTGACTTATGGAAACTCCCATAGGGTTTTCAGGGCAAGAGGTGGCTTTGTCATCACCTGCTTCTGTATAGCAACCCTGGACTTCCTTGGTGGTCTCCCATCCAAGTACTAACTGTGACTGAGTTTGCTCGGCTTCCAAGGTCTGACGAGTTCAGGCTAGCCCGGGCCATCCAGGTCGGGGCAAGTCTGGGTAGGGTTGGATAAAACAGATTTTTGCAGACTCTTAACTGGAATTTCCAGTTGTGATGTTGCCCCTGTACGATCAACACAAAATCTCCTCCCAAGCTCTGACCACCAGTGACCGCTCCTGGGCAAACCTTAAGGGTCTCTGCTGATGGCCACCACACGTTCGCTCAGTATGCGTAGACGTGGCAATGAGGGGCTCTCCTCAAAAAGGACTATGGCTCTATTCTGCACAGCCCTGAGCATGGAGCCTTTCCCTGACAAAAGGACCTTAAAAGGATGGATGCTATTTTCTCTTGGCATAGTAAACTGAAATAAAGTAGGCTGCGCCAACTACAGGAAAGGCTTTCGGTACTCTTGGTTGTAGTTTATTAAGCTTCTATCTGGTCTTATGGTTGGTTTCAACAGCATTTTGGGCTTCTCTTCTCGGTGCATTGTGCGAGCAGGTGGGTTTGCCAACTCCGGGTTGTGGAATTCCTGGAGATGTGGGGGGTGGGGCTTGGGGAGGGCAGAGTTTGGAGAGGGGAGGGATATCAGTGGCATACAGAGTCCACACACACACCCCTCCAAAGGTGCCATTTTCTCTGGGAGAGCTGATCTCTGTCGTCCAAATCTAGGAGATCTCTGGTTCCCATCTGGAGGGGGTGACCATATTTTGTGGAAATGTACACGTGCAAAAGGGGGGGGGAGAAACACGTGTCAACAAATGCCGGTTGGGTTTCGGCTCTTTGCTGCCCCTTTGAACAATGATGTGTTTCTACACGGTCATCCCCCTTTGACTTCTCGCGCGGCCAGGAGCCCCATGCACAGAGAAAGCAAACCCGACACACAGACACCAACACAAAAGAATCGGCAAAAAAAAAAAAGAAGGCACGCCGAACGTTTGTAGAATGTTTTTTTTCCACACATCTGCACAGTCTACATGAAACACCAAAAGCAAAGGGAAGAATGACTGATTAATCCGTTCTCTTCTGGCTTCCTTTCTCTCTCCTTCCAAACAGCAGAGAACTAATGACGGAGAGGGATGGTGGTGTTTCCGCTTTCAGGGATGTTAGTGTAACTGAGTGAGCAGTTCTAATCCTTTATATGTTGATTTTGGGAAAAAAAAAACCCCAGCTTAGGCCTATGAGTTACAAAGCTGTTGCAATGGCTTAAGAGGATCAGGTGGAGGGTCTCAAGACTGACAAAGGAGACTAGCTTAAAGGGGGGGGGGCAACCTCATTCAGCTCTTAACCAGTTGGAGGTCATGCCGAATCACGGGGCTATATGCTTCCAGCTATGGCCAAGATGAATGGCTTGTCTTGAAAAGCAAAACAGATTCTCAGCACCAACCCGGAAGACACCCCCCTCCCCCTAGCATGCAGCCCACTCAGCACTTTGCCAACATATTCCAAGCCAAATAGAAAGGCTTCAGGGCCACACTGAGCTGGCCCCGGCATATCTAGCTCCCCTCTTCCTTTTCAACATGTCTTGTCAACTGCACAGGAGAGTCGCCGCTGACTTGTGGTGACCCTGTAGGGTTTTCAAGGCAAGAGACCAACAGAGGAGGGTTTGCCATTGCCTGCCTCTGGACTTTCTTGGTGGTCTCCCATCCAAGTATTAACCAGGGCCGACCCTGCTTAGCTTCCGGGGTCTGGCGAGATCGGGCTAGCCTGAGCCATTGCATCTGATATTTGCCCACCCCGGGCCACATAACTGGCTGCCAATAACTTAGGTTGTGGTATTAAGTCACAAAGGAAATTATTCTAGACATTAAACAGCGGGGAGAGCAGAACTCGGGTCTCTACCACTAGGGACAGGGCTTTTTCCATGGTCGCCCCATTTTGCAGAATAACTAGCTGGGGGAGACTCGTGCCCTGCGGGACCTAGTCAGGATCCAAAGGACATGGAAAACTGAACTATTTTTCAACAGGCCTTCACCTGATGATGTTTATATCAGCCCCTCTAGTTTTCCACTTTTCCGGCTTCCAGTTTTTGATACTGATATTTTTATAATTTTATACAGATTTTACTGTCATTTATTTATACTGGGTTTACATTACGTTAGCTGTTATATGGTATTTAACATATTTAAATCATGTCACTCTATTGTCATAAGCCGTCTTGAGCCACATTTGCTGTGGGAGAGACGGGAGACAGATTTGAAAAATAAATAAACTAAATGTACACCTGCAATTTTCAGCAGCACCAGACTCACTTGCAAGAAAATGGTTGGATCCTATGAAAATGTTCACGGGCAACCATCTTCCCTGCCTTCCCCCCTCTGCAGAAGGCACCGGTGACCCCTGAGGGCATCGGGGGAGTCTCATGGACCCTCATGGGGGAGCCATGAGGATCACATGGGGATTAAGGAGGAGAAGTTATCCACTTCCTCTGCCAGTGGAAGCAGCTCAGTCTCACCCAATTCCCCCTCATAGGAACCAACCTAAATGTCTAAGATCAGGATACCAAAATCACCTGGTTCTTCTGGGCCCTAAAGAAGCCAGGCTTGCCGCAACGAGGGCCAAGGCCTTTTCTATGGCAGCCCCTTACTGGTGGGATGAGCTCCCGGATGACATCAGGGCCCTGCGGGACCTTTTGCAGTTCTGCAGGGCCTGTAAGACGGAGCTCTTCCGCCAGGCTTTCGATTAGGGCGCTGCCTTTAACATCATGGCCCTGGCCATAACACCAACATCGTCACCAACCTGACGACCAACAGCCAAGCAGGAGCCTGGACTAAGGGGTAGGTGACCATCCAAATGTTGAGAGAATGCCGCCATCTTTTATTACATCTATGTTCTGAGCAGTTATGGTTTTATATACTGTGATTTTTAACTTAATTTTGTTCTTAGCATATTTTGGAGTTTTAATGTATACACATATATGTATGTTCTGTAAGCCGCCCTGAGCCTGCTACGGCGGGGAGGGCGGGATAAAAATTTAACAAATAAATAAATAAATAAATACAATAGTTTTGTCCTCAGTTACAGCCAATGCTCCCTCTAAGCTATGGAGTCCTGTGAGCAAAAATTCTACTTTGTGAGCTACTGGCATTAAAGTTGTGAGCAGGTGATCTGGCTACTGCATAAATCAGTTTGCTCTGGAGCCATCCTTCCTGAGCAAAGACAAAAATGTGGGAGCCGAAGGCTAAAAAATTGTGAGCTAGCTCACACAAACTCAGCTTAGAGGGAACACTGGTTACAGCCCAAAAGAAAACAGGCACGTTCTTCTGTAATTTTGCAGAGTGGTAACAAATATTTTCCAGAGTAGTAAGAAATTAAAACGGCAAACGGGCCTTATGCATAGTTTACTTTGCACACATGCACACAAATACAAACAAAAAACAAAAAACAATCGATGGATACAAGGGATGCACATTGCACGTTAAGTGACAAACAGGCTAAAGAAAAATATATGACCACATATTACCGTCCCCACTAATTTCATCTGTTGATCCGGGTGGCATGCAAAGAGAAAGGGGGAGGGAAAACAGTAGGAAAAGAAAGGGGAAGGGGAGGGAGAGAGAGAAAGAGGGGAAGAAATGGGGGAAATACAGTATTAAAATCACAGTGTGCCAAACGGAAGAGCAAAAAAAGAAAATCACCTTAAGTGTTTTCACTCTTAAAAGATCTGATCAGGCAGAGGAAGTTAAGGGTGTTTCGCAGTCTAACCCAACACTCTAAATTCCTCCCAGCACATGACAAGATGCAGGCAAACACTACGGTTATGCGCATGAAGCCTCAAAAGAAGGAAACTAAGCTGGTACTTTGTGTCGCACAGCAATAACACAAGTGCCTTAATTCATGGCTGCCACTACGGAGGGAGGGGGTGCGAGAGAAAGGATGAATTAAGCCGACATGCAAAGAGCCCTGAATCTATGTACCAAGTGTTTCGTCCTTTGATGCACACTTCTTATTAATGCTAGTATGAACTGAACGCCATCGAAAACAAAATCTATCATAGTACGAGGCTGAGATTTGGAGAAACGACACACGATCAGTGCTCTAGCTCTTACATTACAAGATTTACAAACGTAATTCCAAGTAGTTGTGTCAAGAGGGGTTGTGCTCTAAACATTTGTTCATTAGAAATGACAGGCTCAAAGCCCGCACTTCAAGACCCACCACTCAGGGCCTAAAATTACTGCTAAACAGACAGCCTCCCCCCCCCCACCAGCTGCACTTAGAAGCAATTCGCTCAAATAACAGAGCCTGCTGAAGGGTACTGCAGTCTCAACTCTTCATCATAACATGAAGACCGATGACAACTAAGGTAAAGTGTGCCACTGAGCTGCCAGCGACTCATGGCAACCAATGTTCCCTCTAAGCCGTGGAGTCTTGTGAGCAAAAATGCTACTTTGTGAGCGACTGGCAGCAAAGTTGTGAGCGAGCGACTTGGCTACTGCATAAATTAGGTTACTCTGGAGCCCTCCTTCCTGAGCTAAGACAAAAATATGTGAGCCGGAGGCTAAAGAAGTGTGAGCTAGCTCACACTAATTCAGCTTAGAGGGAACACCGATGGCAACCCCATGAATTTCCACCTCTTGGGGTTTGCAAGGCAAGTGAGAGAAGCAGAGGTAATTTTGCCATTGCCTTCCTCTGCAGAGTCTCCCTTGGTGGTCTCCCATCCAAGGACTGGCCTCGCTTAGCTTCCGAGCTCTGACGAGATCAGGCTACTCTGGGCTATGACAACTATCCCCTAATAGTTGCCATACAAAAAGTCATGCCCAGAGACCTGCACCCAGCCAACACTGCGGTGATCACTTAGGCACGTAAGCGATCTCAGCCCATATTTACAGCTGCTATTCTATTACATTCAACGGCATGCTAAATCAGGGGTCCAAGAATGTGTTAGGCCCAAGTGAGCCCCTGGGAGACAGATCTGAAACCTTCTCCACTGCCATTAATCAATTCACTTCCATGGCACTTTTAATTGAAGAAGCTGACTTCTACAGGAGTTGGAAACACTTCCTGTGCCTTACGGGAGGAACAGGACGCCTCTGAATTTTCAGTGGGATTATTCTTGGAACTCTGTTTACAATTCTACTCCAGCCTCAGGTGAACAAAACCGCGGCGAAGTTAGTATTGTTCAGCTTTTGGATTAATCAGGCAGCCCAGAGACAAAGCAGGCCGGTACCCTGAGGTGGCGGCGGCTCGTGGGAGCAGAAGACGAAAGGGAGAAAGCGCCTGCCTCTCTTTATTTTATGTTGACAGTGATTGACTCCTTTGCCAAGGGGCAAGAAGAGGAAAGGGGAGGGGAGGGAATTAAAAACAGAAACAAATTATTTACAAGGAAAGGAAGATACAGTCAGTACATGTGCAACACATGAATGTAAGAAAGTGGTAGTGTTACAACTGATACTTTGGAGTCATATTTAACAGTAAAAAAAAACCTGAATCCACTTTTCTTCAGATACTACTGCAGAAATACATACTTTACTCCTGTTTTGCTTTTTTCAAAGGGGATATAACAAAGAAGAGCTATTAAAATATTTAAAGCTCAGCATCTGTCAGCTCTAACAGTACGACACAGAATACGTTTCTTCAGTATAACAGTTTATTAAGTTGGTATTTCCTGACAAAACTGGATTTTTTTACACAGACTGTGGATCAGCTGTCGGCCAAACTGGTTCTGCTGCTTCCTGTCCATGGTTCTCCTTACCTGGGGGGGGGGGGGGGGAGAAGCCCACCCTCTCTCCAGAGCTCTTTTAACCCACCTTGATGGTGGTGTGTGGGGGCCAGATGGGGGATCTCTGCATAACAAGATGTATTTCCCCAACAGCATCAGACAGCTCAGTGCCAAAACCCACCACGGACAGGAATTCGCAGCACGTGAACGGAACTTTCCCTTTTTTAAACATTCTCAGCAAGTCAACATTTGGATACAAGCAGAGCAGAATACTCTCTACATATATCAGAGAAATTAATGCAAATGAGACGTGTGTTCAAAGAATTCTACAGCAGCAGCAAACATCTGAACATGCCTGTCAGGGAAACTCGCTACAGGAAGAAACACTGCTTCATTTTATGCTTGAATGATGCCTCGGAAACGATGGGGGTGGGGGGTGGGGGAAGTATTACAGAGGGAACCCAGCAGGATCAAGAAACTGGAGTTATCAGAACAGGGCTGTAAAGGGGCAGGCCCAAATCCCAAACATCCCTGAAGCTCACTGGATAAGCCAGTCACACTCTTCCAGACTATAAACGGGAGAGAGGAGGAACCATATACACTGAGCTCCACAGAGGACGGGCAGAGAGAAGCAAAATCCCTACTTGCACAACGAACGAACTCGCAGGACAAAAAGTGCCAGTGTTGTGTCTGGGAGAACTGACTTCAGATCATAAGTACAAAGGAGAAGCCGCGTCGGATCAGGTCAGTGGCCCATCCAGTCCAACACTCTGTCTCACACTGTGGCCAAAGCCCAGGTGCCACCAGGAGTCCCATCAAGCAGGGCCAGAATTGCAGAAACCCACCCACGGTTGCCCCACCCCAAGCGCCAAGAATACAGAGCATCACTACCTCACTGTCACGAAGCTTGCTTGGTGACCTTGGGTTGGTCACGATCTCTATAATCCTAACCTTCCTCAGAGGATAGATTCAGGTGGGTAGCCATGGCCCCGGTCACACGGGCAGGAAAATGCGGGGGGGGGGGAGAACGTGGCTGTTTGCCCCGAAGCAAAATAATGAGCGGCTGCGCGATCAGACGTCCCGTTGAGGTCCCGTGGTTAGGGGGGAGGTGCCAATCACAGGACAATCCTAGTGCGAGGCAAAGAAGCAGCCTCTCTAGCAAAAGGCTCCGCGGGTTTAACCCCTTCCAGGGCTGCAGAGGAATGCAAACTGTATCCTTCGTCTGGTCCCCTCCAGGAGGAGCTTCAGTCGGGCCGCCCTCCCGCCATGCCCCCCCTGCACCTCCCCCTCTGCCACCCGGCGCAGAGAGTTCCTCTCGAGCAGGCCGAGCCAGGAGTGGGGGGGGGATGGAAAAGAGGAGGGGGCTGTGTTGTTTGTTTTTAAATGAAGTGTGCGCATGCGCCGTTGGGTGCTTGTGCGCATCCCGTGGAGACTTGGGAAAAAAAACCTTTTAGCGACGGGACATGGGCGGGCGCCGGATGCCACGACCTACCACCGGAAACGCGATCAGGCGCCCGCCCTTGCCCCACGGTTACCGGAAACGAGTACCTCGGAGGTACTAGTTTTTTACCCCGCATCTTTGGCGGGAAGCCTTGGGTTCGCCACGGGAGCTCTACGCTTCCCAGATGTGGCGCTGTGATCGCGCCCGGAAAATCCGCCTATCTTCCGTCTCTGTAGCGTGGCTAATGCTCCGTGTGACTGCAGCCCATGTTGGTCTGAAGCAGCAGAACAAAGTTGGAGTCCCGAGGCACTTTTAAGACCAACAAAGCTTGTTTTATTCAAGGTATGAGCCTTTCGTGGGCAAGCACGCTTCTTCAGATACATTCTTCCATTTCAATGTATCTGAAGAAGTGTGCGTGCACACAAAAGCTCGTGCATTGAATAAAACTTTGCTGGTCTTAAAGGTCCCACTGGACTCTTAACTTTGTTCTGCTTCCTCAGAGGGCTATTGTGACGATTGAATGGGCAAGGGAGGATTATGTAGGGCAACACCTTGGAGGAAGGGCAGGACAGAAATGTATTGAGAAAGAGAAAGCGCCTCAGTGAATGAATAGAAAGATGGTGGGTTGGATGCAATTAATGTGCTTTGTAAGTGGGAGGCTCTTTATCCGGGAACCATCTAGAGCAGGGTGTCAAACATGCAGCCCAGGGGCCGGGTCAGACCCCCGGAGAGCCTCCATCAGGCCCGCAGTGGAACTGACCATCTCCTGCTTCCAGTTCTGCTGCTGCCGCTGCTGCATCATAGCTTGCTTCGCCAGACTCTCTTAATCACTCAGCCATTTCATCTTTTAACCTGGGTCCTAGACTTAGAACTCTGAGCATGAGATTTCTGTGGCGAATGTCAGTAAATCAAAAGTAGGTTTGCAGTTTATAGAGCTAATGTTTTAAGCATGTTTTTATTTTAAGTTCAGGACAGAAAAAAAGGAAATGCTACTTTACACAGAGAGGGATTAAAATGTAGAATCTACTGCCAGAGGATGTAGTGATGGCCACAGGAATAAACAGCTTTAAAAAGGGGATTTGATAGATTCATGGAGGATAAGACTATCAATGGCTACTAGCCATGGTGACTGAGGAGAACCTCCACATTCAGAGGCACTAAGCCTCTGCATCCTGGAGGCGACATCAGAGGAAGGCCTCGCCCTCTGTGCCCTGTTGTTGGCCATCCAGAGGAACTGGTTGGCCACTGTGTGAGACAGGATGCTGGACTAGATGGACTATCAGTCTGATCCAGCAGGGCTCTTCTTATGTTCTTATGCTCATTAGGGAACAGTGGGAAGCCCAACAATGCACAGCATAGACTAAGTGTACGCCTTTCGCCATGCACCTCTGCAACATCAGGGGCTCCACTGTAGACGGGTTTTTGCTCCAGAAGGATCCAAGGTAGGCCAGCTGATACGGAAAGCAGTACATGAATAGAGGAAGTCTGAAGACCACTGACATGGAACCATTTAAAGGCAACCTTAATGTCTCAAGTGACTTTTTGATAAGATTGGCAAGGAGTGCAGATCGTTAGTGGAGATAAAACCCGTTTACATTGTTATATGCTACCATCACCATCGGCTTCTCTGGGCAGCAAACAACTCATGGCATATTCATTGACACAATTTTATTTACTTGTTTCATTCATACCCTGTTTCCTCCCCACTGGGGACCCAAGGTGGCTTATCATCCTCTTCTCCTGCATTTTATCTTGACAGCAACCCAGTGAGGTAGTTTAGGCTGAGAGAGTGTGACTGGCCCAAGGTCACCCAGCAAGCTTCCACGGCACGAGTGGGGATTCGAACCTGGTTCTTCCAGATTCTAGTCCGACATTCTGACCACTACACCACACTGGCTCTCCAGTGATGCAATAAGGGCTGACAGGCTGATAGACCATTGGTCTACTACAGTATTATCCTCCCCCCCCTTCCGATTCCTACATAGATTGCAGATTACTTCTCCATAGGACTTTGGGCATGGCAGATACATGACATGCTGTTAGAACGTGCAGCCAAAACCCAGGTGCCATCAGGAGATCCACCAGCAGGGCCAGAACTCCAGAAGCCCTCCCACTGCTGCCCCCCCCCCCATGCACCAAGAATACACAGCTTCACTGACCCAGACATAAGAACATAAGAGAAGCCAATGCTGGATCAGGCCAATGGCCCATCCAGTCCAACACTCTTGTGTCACACAGTGGCCAGAACCCAGGTGCCATCAGGAAGTCCGCCAGCAGGGCCAGAAGATAAGAGGAGCCAATGTTGGATCAGGCCAATGGCCCGTCCAGTCCAACACTCTTGTGTCACACAGTGGCCAAAACCCAGGTGCCATCAGGAGGTCTGGGGGGAGGGGCAAGACAGACAGCAAAGAAGAAGCCAAGCCTAACGCCAACTACAGGATACTATTCTCCAAGATACATAGAAGAGGAGTTGTTTTTATACCCAGCTTTTCTCTACCCTAAGGAGTCTCCAAGTGGCTTACAATCGCCTTTCCCTTGCTCTCCCCACAACAGGCACCTTGTGAGGCAGGTGGGGCTGAGAGGGTTCTGGAAGAACCGTGACTGGCCCAAGGTCACCCATCAGGCTTCATGTTGAGGACGTATGGGGAATCAAACCTGGTTCTCCATAGGACTTTGGGCATGGCAGATACATGGCATGCTGTTAGAACGTGCAGCCAAAACCCAGGTGCCATCAGGAGATCCACCAGCAGGGCCAGAACTCCAGAAGCCCTCCCACTGCTAAAAAAACCCAATGCACAGGAGTCCACCACTCTAAACCACTACACCATGCTGGCTCTCATGGGGAAAAGAATAATTACAGGATAGTATGCCTATGGATATTTCCGCATTCACTGTCCCCAATCTGAAGCCTTCCCCTATTCTTGCTTACGTAAAGCACTATAAATATCTGCATGGAAACATCTGCATGAAAGGGGTTTATATATACAACTTATATAAACTGATGGGATAAGTTATTCTTTTTGGAAGCCATGTCGCTTTTAAAGCTTGCTTTCTGGAAGTTAATATTTGCTGTTCTAAACCTAATCACCGGCCAAGGAAAACTCCCAGCCATGCTTCATCCCTTTTGCCGCAGAAGGATCCAAGCAAAACA